CATGGCATCACTCACTCCACCTAAGCGATGAGCTGAAGAATCGGGAAAATGTGGAATTCATGGAAGGACTAGACAGAGGTCGATTTGCTAATCCAAATCTTGAGTGGAGTTGACGAAATACTTTCAAGTCCTTTCCTAGACTCGTAAGTCTTGACTGCGGGTGGATCTCAATCCGCCCCTCACGCTTTCTCTGTTGCCCCATCAACCACTCTTACTCTGTCAGCTTGGTGGCTTTTATGCCGTAGCCTTATAACATTCATACGTTCAGCATGTTGAGCCGGTTTGAAGCATGGACTGCGGCCTCAAACATCAGTTTTCATAATAAAATAACTTCAAAATTTGTAAAGCCCTCAGTCTAGTGGTTCACTGCCGATACATAAGACTACGGCTGACCGGCTCACCATGTCAAACATGTGAGTGGTGTAAGGCTGCGGCACAAAGGTCGTCAAGCTGCGAGGGTAAGGGCTGTCCTGATGGCATAACGGGTAGCGCACTCGCTTGGAAAGCATAAGGCAGTGTTCAGACTTCGCGATGGCAGCACTCAAATCGCGCGTTCGACGCGATCGATGCAGTAGAAAGCATGCGCATCGATCGCGCCGAACGCGCGGCCGAAGCGCTGCCGTCGCGAAGTCTGAACGCTGCCTAAGGTGCGAGCTTGAGTCCCGCCTGGGGTCAGACTTTTGCCCATAACTCAGCATTCTTGCGATAACTAACGATAGAATACTTTCTCCTTGCTTACTCTTACTCTGTTCAGACTTTTCGGATTCAAGATTCGTCCGCCACGTGAGGACGATCAGAAAGATGAGCGCGTCTGAGACGTCGATATCCACCAAAGTTTCCTTTTATGCTCACTTGTCACAGGTATTATGCTAATAGCACAGGTCAAGTGCCAACTATAATATTATGTTAAGGCGTTTCCAAAATGATGTTACAGTTCAGGCAAAAAAACTGTGATTATGAAGTTGTTGATGTATATATTTATTGAACAATGTGGTCTATTCTGTTGCTTCATAGATGTTAAATATTATTTACCGATGTCAAATATGGTTGTGTTGGGAACGCTCTCTCTTTGGAATTTATATAAACTTTTCAACCATAATACACCTGAACTTGAGAAGATCGAATAAAACATATTCACTTAGAAATCCTTTCTTAGTAACTCGTGAATACTTGCACACGAAAACATTGATATTAGGATAAATCAACTTCTGGACGAGGTCCTCCCTCCTAGAAAGCTCTCTAACGGAAATAGTTGAACTGTTGCTGTTGAGATGGTGCCCATGCTGAACCTTGCTGACGATTCATCGCACGAGATGGGGCAAAACCAAGTGCTTTTTGAAGATTTTGTCGAATAGTCATCGTGCATAAGATGTAGAGGAAAATAAATGAGCAATCACGCATGTCATCGCCAACCTGAAAGAAACAATATTTTACATCAGTACCACCTCATTTTTCATATATTTCGTTATTAAATAATCTTCTCCGCTGATCAATCCCTTTGTGGGTCGGACGCATTCTACTTTCCATTTAAATAGCGTAGTGCTTAGTTGCATTGCTGATGTACCTCCCACTGCCTCTCGACTTTTCGAGAAAAAGTGGGGAGTGGTTTTCTGAAGAGGTAAGTGTTGGAAAAATTTAAGCAAATCGGAGGTAAGACTTGAGGTGGGAAGGATCAGAGGGTGAAGTTCAGAGGCGGTCGGATTTTGCAAGCTTTCTAACGGCATTATTCAACGAAGCCCTGTACGAAGAAGGGGAGCCGTGCTGAAACTAGCCAACTAAAGTCTGATCAATCTCCGGAGGCCAAAATGTCATAGTGTTAGAGAACCCATGATGGGTTTCCTTTCTAAATAGCAAGTATCCAAGAGTAATGGCCTCAAACGGAAGAAATGGATATAAAATAGAACAAACTCCAATTATTACTCACTAGGTTTCTGTGCGATAATCCCTGAAGAAACCCGATTGGGACGAACGGTAAACGAGCAACAACCCGTCCGTCGAAGATTGAATTAAACGTGGATAAAAGAGCGGTGAATGCAAGTCCAATAGCAAACATAGATTTCATTTTGAACATTGACATATCCCGATTCGTAGCCTGCAACCGGTGCACTAGATAACGAGACCTTGGGTTCTCAATAGAAGAGGAGCCATTACAGACCTTTAGCCGTTCTTCGTCTCGTTCCAAGCGCTTTTTGGCGTTTTTATCCACAACTTCGCCAGCTTCCTGCTTCTTCTTTTCGAGTCTCTTAGTTTTACGTTCCATTTCAGACTGAAACATTGAGCTTAATCCAATTCTAAAATAATAAGTAAGCAAATGCACAAACTGACTTTCAGTCGCTTGTATTGCTCCGATCGATAAACCAACACATAGGTGAGACCCTCTCCTGCTAGGGCAGTACAGAAGGCTATTGCGATGATAAGCAAGCAATCGGATAACATCGAGGGTATCTACCTGACACAACAGATTAGTATAATATGTATCAACACCATTTCAAAGGTTGGCGCAGTTCGGCTTGGTGTGGGCAACCGAATGATATTCAACTAAGCTTGTAAAGCTATCTTAAGAAAACCTGCGATTTCCTGTGACCAAAATGTCTCACACGAACTATTTCGCACCTTCACAAGAGGTAACAGGACTGACCAAAGTGAGACCTATTGGTTAAGACGAGTCAACAAAAGCAACCAGCGAAAGTACAAAATGCCCACTCCAAGCTGAAATGCTCAAAAGTCTTACAAGACAAACTCTAGGTACTGCATGACCAGGACCCAATCGATCGAACGTAGCAATCAGGGTACACCATCATGCTGAAGAAAATATTCGCAAAGTACGACCCTATCCAGTTTGCTTTCTGGAACGAGCGCTCTCCCATCTCACCCCCACTTCTACAACTTTTCCCGGGATTTTGCAGCCGAGCGGGTAGGGGGACCTTTCAGACCAATTGTTAGAAATAGTAGGTTTGCGCAGCCGCCAACTAGTGAGGTACCTAGCGCCTGAATAATAAAAAAACGTGAATAAGAAAAGAATTTCCCTACGGCGCCCCCCCCCTTATGTTTGGCACTCCCTCGTTGAAACGTCCGCCTGTCAAGTACATAGTAACCCCTGCTGGTTTGTCCCTCGGATGAGCAAAACTACAGCGCACTTCCCTAACAGGGGTGTTCCAATATCAACATACAGTGTGACCTCCTCACCCACCCACATGCAGAAGCAGAAGTCTACAAAGAAAAACTAAAAGAATTGTTCGAAAATTGAAAGTATAATTTTGATAGATAGATTATTAACAACAGTATGGCAAAGAAAATACGCATAGGAATAGATATAGAAGGATGGCAATCACCCAAGCGTTCGAACAAATTCTAGAAAAATACTTTATAGTCAAAATTCCATGTTACTGGTTGCACACAGTCCACAACAGCATATTTTGACCAGAAATCCAACAAGCAATAATAACCATAAAACAACGACAGAACAGAAACAATCGATAGATCAACAATGACGATCAAAGGAAATATTCAATATTCATCTCTATCGCACAACACGGTAAAGTAAGCCCAAAGGCAGTGATCACTTCTGGATGCAAAACACCTAAAATTCAATAAAATGATACTCATCGTGAAGGGGGTAATGCTGCATTTCATTAATGTCACTAGGAAGTCTCCTCTGATGAGACCTGCAAACCCTGTAGCTTCACAGGTTGCAGGTTCTCATCAGAGGGAGACTCTCTTTAGTTACAGTAAATAACATAGTAAGGGTGGGCTGTACAAACATAATTAGATACCATTCGCCGCCCCTCTCCCCTGAGCTGAACATTGCCGGAAATATAAAACTGACGGGAATATGGTCATACCTAAGACTCCTAGCGTAACATTTCCTGGAGCAATTATGGAAGCACAACGTCCAGGGAAGAATGTGGGATCTGAAAACATTTATTTGCAAAAAAAGGCGCAACATGAACATCAGAGCCTGAATCTATGGGAAGGTCATCAGAACTCACTATCACATGCTTTAATGTAATATCCATCTTCTTTTGATGGGTTCAAATCCAACAACCGCATCACTCGGTCAAGAAATCCATGAACTATTTCGAATCCAGCAGTCTTATTGTAGTAAACGGCAGCCAAGCGGCGTTCGTTTCGTGCTCCTACGTCTGAAATCCTGCCAGTGTGAACTGTGCAAACTTTAAATAAAGACTTAGTCAGAATCAAAAATTGAGCGCCGCAAAAATTTCTGTTAAACGCTTAGTCTTAATCGAAGTAGGTGCCAGGGGAAGTCAGGGGGCTGCGTTTGGCGCGGCACTAGCACACTTCCCACCAAAAGTCGTCGCTTTTCACTCTCCAGCAATTTGATGGGAACGAACTCGCATTGCGCCAAGTAGAGCCCCTTGACAGCCTCAGCATCCGCAGCGAACGAGACTATATTTTGGTCGACCATATGTAAAATCAGCCACTCCCCTAAGAGTCCAGCCGGTAAAAACAGAGCGTTTACTAAGAGTAGAATCTCAATGTGAGGACCTTTCAAACTCATCCTTGGCGGAGCGATACAGCCTTGTTCGTTGCGGGTGAAGCGACGTGTCAGGCGGGATGGACTTGGCGCGGCGTCAAACCTTTTTTCCATCAGTTGTTGAAGCGAGTAAGCGAGGACTGTATCATACCGTTCAATCAGTCATTTTCCAGCAATTATTCTCGCTTGTCCTTTTCAAAAACCGATGGAGAACGGCCTTGGCGCCGCTCCAACGCATCACGCCTGACGCGCCCCTTAATCAGCAGAAAACAAGACTGGACCGGAGCTGAGGAAAGCGTGTTCAGAAATACCTCTCTTATTGGCTGCAAATTAGCATCGTATCAGAGGCTCGGCTCTCTCATTTCCCCTGCCCCCCTCCCTCCCGGTGCAGAGAGGCTAATCTAGAGTTGACCGACAGAAGAGAGACCGTATCCTCTAATAGCAAGCACTAGAAGGACATGAAAGACCCCCGTGATATGTCTCAGAAACATGCAAACTTTAACATAAAATGTACCGGAAGAGGAATCTTTCATAATCACATCCTGAAGTTCGAAGAGTTTGAGCGGAAGTGGCATATCTCGATTCGATGAAAGCGTCTTCATAAGACCTGGCAGTAGCGATAATCGGGCAACCTGCAAAACACTCAGAAACTAAAGCATCTATAATGAATTCAAACGGTGATATGATACCTGGAATTCCTGCGTTTTCGGGATTCGAAATATGGACGGCGTTTTCGAGGGCTTTTTCGTTCCGTAAACGCGTTGAAATATCCTCCCTTGAGCAAAGGGCGAAATTAAGCGCTTCTGTCCAACCGGCAGCAGCTATCTCTATCCGAAGCAGATCCGACAATTTGTTCAAAGGAAACACTTCAGCCATCGTATTCGACTGGAAAAAAAGACAATTTAGCAAGAAAAAAAAGTAGCTAGCCGCTTCGTTGTCTTTCTGAGTCTTCACCCCTACCTCCGGTAATCGGCGAACCAAATTGTTGAAGCCATATGCCACTCCTACGTCCTCTGCAACATCGCATTCATGCAGTATGTCATGTCTGGTAGGAGGAATGGTCACCTGAAAGAAACAATGGAGGGATCCAGGTCAATTCCATTCGAGCATATAAAGACTAAACCAACCTTCAAGGTGTTTTCCGTAACAACTTTCGCTTTTAAGGACATTCTAATGAGCAAGTCAGCCATAGTTTGAGCATCAAGTTGGAAACCTATCTTTGTGTTGATCTCAGAAACTCGCACCATGATTTCACGACACGAAAGCACCTTCAAAAAGAATGTGAGTTACTAAAGGAAGCTGCAGCTTGCATACACGTCGAGGGCGCATTCGTACCCGCGAGCCGATCGCTTGTATCTCGCGATCGAATTGCGAAGTATAAACGTGCTCTAGGAAACAAATGAAACCATGGACTTAAAGGCACATGTTGCGACTGTCGGAAAAATCTAATCACCATTGTTATAAGGTTACTTTGTTTCGAAACGCAAGTATGTGAGACTTTCAGGCTTAAGGGCCCAAAAAGTCGGCTGTGAGCTTTTTAAGCAAGCTGCTTTTACCTACACAAACGAGGACCTTGCAGGCGTGTTGCTTACATGTAAGTGACGCCGTGCTGCCTGCTCTCTCGTTTTGTCTCGTCCTTTTCCCACCCGAGTAGTCTCTTCTCTCGCTCACTCTCACGAGTTCGAGACGGAATGGATCTTATTCAGGGCATTTTCATTTTCTTTTCTATGCTTTTTCTTTCCTGCTGAGTTACCTAGCACCTTCACAACCGAAGTCGAGCCCCGCCACCAGGACGTAAACAAGAAATGTGTCTTCAAGTTCAATATTTCAAGCAACTCACAGGATATTCCTCCTTCCTACCAGTCTCCTCGTATACCACTTCCACTGGTTCTATCCTGAACAGTCGCTAGTCAGATAAAAACGGCTAAACATGGTTTTTAGCGGAGAAAAAGAGACGAAGTTAGTCCGGGCAAGCATGAGACATTATGTATGATCCAAATTTAATTTAAAATAGCGCTCACGTGAATGGCTCTTTGCAATACTGGCTGAACATCGTAACAACGGTGTCAAGGACAACAGTTGCCTACAAGATATCTGTGAGTTGACGAAGAAAAATACGCGAAACAAAAAGGTACCTTTTGCAGATCTGTTGCGGTAGCTTCTATGAAAATGTTCTTTGTTTGAAGAGTGATCTTAGAGTGCTCCCCTGAAACCAACTGCATAAACTACAAAAACCTTAAGAAATCATCTTAAATAAAAAAGCACACCATTTATGATAGGAGGCATTGAGCACACTATCCCATTGGCATCATAAATGACTGGATACCTCTCTTTATCACGAATAATTGGCAGATAAGGCTTCAAGTGACTGTCAGTCTGAATGAAACCATATGTTGACTTAATTGTCCAAAACATTTTCAAAAAAAACCTACTGAATAGAATTCCATCAATTCGCGGGCTGTAAATTCCTTTGTTTGATTGAGAGGGATAAACTTAATGTCCTCTGGCAGGTCAGCAGATTTTGAACGGACCTGAACCCAAATATTTTCTGATTCAAAAAATCCTGTAAAACTTTCTAACAGTACATTCTCCTGCTTGAAAGAACTGATTTAGGGTAATTCCAAATGATGCGTTCGACAGAGGAAAAAACAACCTACCAGCAATGGTGTCCAAATCATGGGTGCCAATAGCCACTAAAGTTCGCTTCCGGCAAATATTCTGATGAAGCTTATCCTGAAAATTAAGCACCAATCAACAGAGCTCGCCGTGGACCAACAACTAGCGAGATCGTCTCACCTGTAGATCTATGAAGGAGGCGTAGTTGTCCTGATCAAATGAAAAATTCCGAAGAATAGCACCAACCACGAAAGGACGCACTGCGGCGGTCTAGAAAAGAATTGAGAGTAAGCAAAACGCGGTTGTTCCTGAGACTAATTGAAAACGGAAAACGATAGCAGCCTGATGATCTACAGGTTTCCACGGAGTAAGCAAAAAATACCGTACACCTGCATATTCTAAGACTCGCATGTTTTTGAAAGGATAGCTTTATATTGATGAGTTTGGCACAATACTTCGACTTCCCCATCGTCTCACTACACTAGCACCTCAGCAACAGGGGGTCTATTGCTGAAGTAGGTCGATACTTACCCAATCAGGAGAAGGTTTCTTAAGCTAAGAAATTATAGAGCGAAGGTTCTGCAGTTGATCGATTTCTTTGGGGAGCACCATACGTTTCACTTCCTTCCAGAGTCGCAACGGAATTTTGAATGTGTTGGGCCTGTAGAATGTCTTCCAGTGCCAGTCGATGCACAAGCCACTGTTTTTATCCTCCCAGACGAATCTGGTCCCAAATTACCTGCACCGAACGCATGGAAGGAAAGGAGTCGATCCGGGATTAGACGCCTTGATGCCTACTGCCACTCCACCATTTCCGCTCCAATCTGCCTTTTAAATGCATAGATTTAGGTCACGCACACTTAACACGCGCGCGGATCGGGAGTCAGATACCACATTAGTTTCCGCGCAGGCCACTCAAACCTTCTACCCTTTGCGGACGGTTGAATCGGTGCCAGGTTAGTCTCAGGAGGTAAAAATACTGACTTGAATGACGCCGGCTGCCCACCCCCTCCCCACCCCAGGTAATTGTATAGGCCA